ATGTTTAATCTCAGACAAACATAACTCAGCTGAATTGAACTAAACTAGGAAATGTTGTTGCCTTTGATCAGCTATTCCTTCTTAGTCATTACAAGCATCTTACGGAACAAAGTAATTCAATTTCAGTGTATTTAGATAATTTAAAAGAAAAAAAAAAAAACAAAAACCACAATCTTATTTTTTTTTTCTATTTCAGAATAAAAACTATCCACAACAACTCACCAAACCCAAAGCTTTAAAATGGTACTGTTGGTTATGTTTACAAATGAAGATTACTCCAGTTTTATTAAGTATTAATCTCTGTGTTAAATACATCTCCTGGATTTAGAGAGAAAACTGGATAAGATTACAGATCAAATGTTAGTACTATATGCATTTGTCAGTCTCTACAAAATAATCTTGGGTGCCTGCTTCATAAACTGTGTTGTGCCAAAATGGTAAATATAAATGTGGCCTCTTTTCTGCTACACTGATTTTGAGTAAACTTTGTCTGTTAAAGAGTATTGTTTATTTTTAATGTGACAGCTATAAACCTCACCAAGGATTCAGACATATCATGCCAGAAACAACCAACTTTAGTCTACAAATGATGCCATGAAAGAGTGTAATTTGACAAGGAAATACCAGGACTTAAAGAAGTAAATAGGAAAAAGGCCATAGACGGGTTGACTAATATCAATATGTTTGTAAAAATGAGAAGCCTCTGTTCATTTTTCTCCTTTAAGGTCCAAAGACCTCACTTGGTTATACACAGCAGCTGCACAAAAAAGACTCAAGAGCTGAGGTTAGTTAGCAGCATTTTCCTTCAAAGGGTGATGTATTGTCAAGACCATTAAAATTAGTTGTTAAACCGAGTGGAAAACATAAAATAATCCTTTAATCTTATTATCATTATATGATAATATGTTTCAGGTTCAGTTCTGTGATAAATAACAGAAGAATTTTGCTTTTGCTAAAAGTAATTAAACAATTACTTTTATTGAGTTAGGCTAAAGTTGTTATTAAATTAGTGTTGTTGAAATTATAAAAGTTAAGCAAGCCTTTTTTGACCACAAATTAGGCATATGGTTGGGCATTGTGGGGAGTTGGGCAAGCAAGAGGTTGGGGGGGTGGTCTGTGGTTAGGCATCATGTAAAGGGGAACCTGGATAGGAGGGGCTGGGGAAGAATGGAAGCCAGCAGAAAAGGAAGCGAAGAAGTCCTCATGAAGAGGAACCTGGACTTCACCGCCCGCCCCCTCCATCCCCTTCCCCAACTCCCCCCTGAGAGCAGTGTAAAAGTACCGAGAGAGACAGCCTCGGAGAAACAAAGAAAAAGGAGCTGTGCAGGTGTAAAGAGGAGAACACCTGCCATTTTCACTCAGCCAATGAAATCTCCTGGTTGCTCCATAGAAAGAAGCCCCTGCTGGGGTGGGGTGCGCACCATTGCGCCCAGAGACGTATTCTTTGCTCCACTGACTTTGACTCCAAATAGAACATTATTTTTTTATATACGTGAGCTTGTTTCTCACAAATTCTAACATATTTTTATGCCTAGCGAAATCTGGTATCTACAGAATTCAAAACTGATCTGTACTTTTGTGTTGTGTTTATATGTGAAAGAAGCAGTAGTCAACTATCAGTCATTGTGCTGAATTTGAAGACAAGAAATGTTCTTTTTCTTCTTATGTGAACCAATAGATTCAGCTAGAGCCTGGAGCTTCACTTTTCATTTTTCTTGTAAATGACTGCTGCTTTAAACCATTGGTTATGGTTTATTTATAGAATAATACATAGTTCACAATTAAATGCCAAGCTATAATTGAATCAAAGGATTCTGCTGATGCCTCAACTCACAAGGGTGCAGCTCAAGAGCTTTATAAAGGGCATCAAAATCTGAGTCTAAATTACAGCCCCCAGTATTCAGTCTGGCATCATGCATTATAATGCGTAGTAGAGCTAAAAGGATTACTATAATACTGCAGTAAATAAAAAGAAAATATATCAAACAGCAGAATTCAGGATGCTTGCAGAGGTTTTCAGTTTATAATGTGGGAGGTTAGAGATTATACAGCATCAGAAACAACACTAGAATAAAAGTATTTCATAAACACATTTATTATTTTCCTAAAAAAATATTCTGAAGAAAATATATGTTTCATAGATTAATCGACAGTAAATTGTGTTCTGCTACATATAACTGCTTGATTCCAGATGTCACATAGCTATTTTCTGACATAATAGGGCAATAATTATGCTGTAGAAGGAAAATATTAACTCACACCTCTCTGATGATTTTTTGAGTAATCTTACAAACATTAAAAAAGTTAAATTTAGTTAACCAGTATGAGAAATATACCATAAACTTGTATGTTTTCTAGTACAAAAAATGTCTTATCACAAAAATGGTTCACAGATCCAATTCACAAAGACAACATTCTTTCATTCATGAAAGAAATCTAACTGATAAAGCATACATTTTTAGGCTAAAATAAAGATTATTTCTGACACAGATACTTTGTTTTGGTTTAGAATGTGTTTTCTTAAAAACGAGTAATGAAAAACCCTTTCCACTTTTTTCAATACTATCTGCTAATCCATAGTGTATTTGTTGGGCTGTAAGCAAGGACACCAATCAATATTTTGTTATGTAGACATTTTATCCATCAGATGCTTACCCTGGTTCCTAACACCAGGTTGTAATTAGTCCAGCAATTCCCTAATGTGGCCACAGCAACTTTGCACAGCCGGTGATGCTGTGGAAGCTCATCATACGCCTTCCAAAGTGTTTCTGCATTTTCCTATGATCTGCTCCATTGTAAGAGATAAAACAGCGGATTGTAACGGCATTGGTCAGATCTCATCATGGAATTTCTCTGTGGATTTGGGGTACAGCTCTTTACAGATCTTACTGGAATTGCAAGTATTCAAGAGATAATTAGACACTTTGAACTCTGGTGGATGTATGTCTACAGAACAGCTCCTTGGGAAAGAGTGGGGAAAGGATGGTAATTTGTCTTCTGATAACTGTCAGTCTAACATCTGTGTGGGAAATCACAGATGTGCAAAGTCTTACTTACCATGTAAAGGACTACAATAATTTTTAATATGAAGTTCAGCAAAGTCTGCCTTACACTGACATTTTTTTCCTACAAAGCATTTAATACGGAATTTAATTCCAGTCCTGAATAATATATAATATAGTCATTATAACTCTTCTTGGGTTCCCATTCTCAAAGTCCAACTGAGGTCATAGGACATTATTTCCAAAATTACCTTTTCAATAAGTTGTAAGAAATATTTAAGAAAAAGTAGAAGTCGTGCAATAAGCTCACAGTGTTGCTATAGAGAAAAATGCCTGAGGATTCCACAGATTAAATATTTGTACAAAGCACCACAGAGGTACACAATACTAAACCAAGACATTATAGATACATCCATTGGTTCAGGGATCCTGGGGGATTGAGGTTAAGGTAGCAGTCTTTTTGTTGTTTGTTTGTTTTTTTAATTTTAATTTTCATTTGAGTATTACTTTTTCCCACTGGAAATATCATGAAGGGAAAGAACAAAGAAATACATTCTAGGTGAAAAATTTATGTTAATGAATGTAGGAAACACACTAGATTGGGCCAGGTAGGGATATATGGAGGGGAAGCAGGAAAGGTCACAGGAAGCTGTAGCCCCTGCAATAAAAATACTTACAGAAATGACAAGGGTGAGGAAGGGTGATATTTACTATTAAAAGAATATTAGATTGTCTTTACTGCTATCTCAGCAACTTTAAAAAACAGCAACAAAGACTTTATATTTAGAGAGGTGGCAAGTAAAGATGGGAGACTGTGGGAAAAGATGGCTTTTGGAGAAACTCAGAAATAAGATAGGGCATGTGGTATATAAATATTTGAAGCTCTGAATTAGGAAAATGTTGTGCCTTAATTATGCAGGACAGATACTTGCATCAACAGAAAAATGTTATCAAAATAGGCCTTTGATACAGTGTATTGGCCAAAAATGTGCCTGTCTGCATTGTAGTACAAAGACTGTGCATTGCAGGGGATTATCTGTCACAGATGTGAAAGCTGCTTTTGTTTATTGTTGCTTATTTAGACAGTTTGTAAAGTATCTGGAAACATTTGGTAGAAAATACAAAATACATAAAGACCTGCATTCCCAATTAGATATTTACTTTAAACAACTGCTTTTCCAAAAATGTTGTAACATGGCAAGTCCCACTGAGAACAATTTGAAAATCTATCCATGTCTCCAAAGTACCTAATAGATATCTGAGAGACTTTGAAACCCTTCCACAAGTTTTTTAATGTTCTATAATTTTAAGGATTGAAGATTAAAGGACTCTCATACCAGGAATCTTTCATGAATATCTGCTATACATGGATTGCCATCAAACCAGTGACCCAATTTAAAATCGTTTTCATGAGTTCGTACAGGCTTGCACATGAAGAATCTACCAAAATCTTTTTATGTCAAGTTGGTCACTGAAACAAGACACTGATAAAACAGTACAGTGAACATACCATTAAAGTACCCTGCCTTTCTTACAGAGATAGTAACAGTTCAGGGAAATAAACCACATGTAGAGCAAATTTGTTAAACCTCTTCATCATGGTTTAATGAACTATTAATCCAAATTAATCCAAACTTCTCTTAGTTTGTCAGGATCATCCAAAGTAATTTTTTACCACTATGACTTAGTTGTCTCTGTCCCATGGATATGCTGAAGAAATGGGTAGATTTCTCCTTGACTCTTAGATTAAAAATAATTATTATCTCTATTAATTTAAATAACATTTTTTTTTCAGTGTGAATGAAATTTAGTGATTCAAATATTTGCAAAAACCAAAGAAGTATTAATAATTGAGCGAGCTAAACCAAAATTACTTTAATGTAGGTGAACGCAAAACACTTCTTGTGATGTTTACCTTTCTGCTGAATAAACTATCCTCACATTGTTTGCATTACAATAGGCAGAGATGTAGAACATTTCTCCACTCACTGCACGTACCTCCCCTTCTGTGGACTGTAAGTGCAGCTCTTTCCTACAGGTAGCCTTTAAGTCTCCTGCAGCTGCGTTGACTTGCACTCCCCTGGGTGCTTCCATCACCAAAGATCTAGTAGGAGATTCAAGTCTGAAAGACAGAAACAATCACTGAGAAAAAATGCACTGAATCCAACCACCAAAAAAACATCTAGCCCCGAAGTCCACGATGCAAGCAGATAGAAATGTATTTTGAAAGGTAAAAAAGTAAAAATTAGTTATATGTGTGATTCTCTCACTACTCTTTATAGCCTGGAGAAGAAAAAAAAATTAAGTATATGTTTAAATCTACTGTTTAAGATAGCATTTAAGCATATACTGATATAAGCTTGTCTGCTTAGTGATGCTTTCTGGCATTAGTACCTAATTTACTTGACTGTACTAATACTGAAATATAGGTACCGCGTGTCTCTGTGAGCACTTTTGTAATGACAGGTTAATAACCAAAGTCTGATTAGTGACCAGTGACAAATGTTGAACTACATAGAAAGAAAGCAATATGCTTACAAAGTTTTAAATAATGATGTAAAACTGATTAGAATTACTTTGCCTTCACAGGTTCATTCATATTTCAGTGTAGCAGCATTAGGTATAGCAGCATTATGTATGAAGAAGAGAGGAAAAGAAAATTTGTTATGTTTCTATTATTGGGGGGGGATTTGCATGTTTTTGATCTTCTGCAAAATGCTCATTATGCTCTTTAACCCCGTTATAATAGGGCTAAGATGCATATCACTGGGTCTTGGTATCTTTCGTCAAAGAAACTATTGTTCTTGTATTGTCAGTCTTTCTGTTTCTCTCTACCCTATACTCAAGATCCTCCATCAACCTTGATGCAGAACTGTGATACCTTCTTAGCTATGTTATCTCACAGCACTGTACAGGTTGCTCTTGAAAGGGAAGTACTGATGCAAGGATTTCATAGAAGCCATGCTCACACACTGAAAAGGAAAGATGATTGGATGAAAATTGTATTGAACTAGGAAACAAAAATTTGGATTCTCATTATGTTCAGCCGTAGACTTATTGCACAGCCCTGTTAAGAGGGAGACAAATCTTTTAATCTATATCCCAATAATATAATGACAGAACATAGTTCCACTTTACCTGAACAAAGGCTTTTTGTAAGATGAAGTATATTAATGGTAGAAATGTCTAGAATAAGTAGCTTGAAGAAAACACTATATTCCCCTCTTCAACAAATTGTATTTTGAGTGTTAGGTCACATCCATCCAAAAATATAATGATGTACTAGATGTATAAAGGAAAGAATAGTTTGACAAAGATTTTTCTATAGAAAAGCCAAATGAAAGATCCATCAAGCAATGGAACAAGAGAATTTCAGTGTATTTCAACTACTGAATTTTTTAAGTGTACAGAATAGTGATGGATTATAATTTTGAAATCAACATACCACATTTGCATGCAAAGTAAGTAAGTCACTGAGATGGTGTCTGTGAAATGCTTGTTTGTTAGATGTCACTGACACTCAATAGGGAAATAAAAAAGGAAAGCAATTATTTGGCAACACAAAATGAAACTGTTAAAAGCAGGTGTCCAGACAGAGGAAAACATTATTTGTAGCTACCTATATGAAAAAGTATATATGGAATACGTATAGATAGTAGTAGTAGAAAAATCCGTATTTCTGTTAGTGCTAAGCTATTTTCTTTCATTTTTTTTTACGCTCTGTAGGGAGCAGTTAATAGAAGGTTCTGCAGTCCTTTGTACCATGGAAGAATCTAAATATGAATTATTTAATCATGTACATCAGTGTTTTTCAGGTGATGGCTTGTGAACTTCTGATGGCTATCATACAGCAGAAGAAGATCTAACGAAACCTTTTAGGCATCATATAAAGTTTAGAAATTAGTTTTCTGAAAGCACTCTGTTGCCTTAATGAGGTTTTATCTTGAATTTAAAAGGAAACAACTGTAGAAATGTTAAATGATTGCATACTTCCATATTTTTCAGCAGCACATTTTTGTGACTTATAACCTACTTTCCAGGAATATTAACATTTCTCAGTGGTTTCAGTTGCCATTTCATAATCATGAAGACAAAAGTGCCTTTAACTACATTTATTGCATTGAATTGATGGGTATTAACAAAGTCACAAATATTTCTGATTTCATAACATCAAAACCACTCTCAGATCTGACTGAAATTTTTCAGCAGGTGGGCAATAAAAATCTACTTAGGAATATATTTCAAGACTCTATGAGTTTGTTTGAAGAATAAACGTGTTTTTTTTGTTTGTTTGTTTGTTTTTTTTTTTTTTTTTCCAAAACACACAAGGCAGTGTATAGCTCAGAGTTGCTTTGTTTATCTACATCACTGTTTTTCATGAACAACATTAACATAACTGGCTTCCAGTTTGTCTAAAATGAAGGCATTTGGGCAACTAATTTCTGAATTTGAGAAGAAGTTGTTAATATCAGCTGTCTATACACAGTGGCAAAGGAAAATAGATTTTTTTTTAGCATTTTCCTGAAAGCAGATAAGGTGGTAGAAATGCCAATGAATGGTTGATGATCAGCAGAGTAGTTTTAAAAACACTATCTATTGGTAAAATGGAATGCCTAAATCTGTTTTATGCTTGCTAATTTACTTTACTTATTATTATTCCTCCAATGATCTACATCTGAAAAATGACCTAGCTACTCAATCTTCAGCATGCTACTTGAAATGCAAAAGTCTATATACATAGATTATTTTCTCAGTGTTCTGAGATAAATTATGTTTGATATGCAGCTGCTTTATAATATTTCTTCTTTGTCATATTTCTAAAGGCTTTAATCTCTACTATAAACTTATTGTAACACTCCACATTGTAATACTCATCCCTCCAAGGAAAAGTGCATTATTACAATAGCATATTGAAGAATTTGCTTTCCTTTCAGATTTACTGATGGCCTGTCACAGTGGCATTTACATCTATGAATGAATCCTATGCATATAATTTAATTTTCCTCTCTCAAACAGCAAACAGCTATGATGTAGAAGGTAGCTACTGCTATTTTTAGACAGAAACTACAACACTGTAGGAATGACAAAGAGTCTTTGAAAAAGAGGTTTTTTAAAAATATAATCTGTCAATTCACTATATGTGATGCAGACAAATGATCTATCCAGAGCAGAGAAGGGCTTTTTTCTTTTCAATTATCAATGGTTAATTTGTGAAAAAAGACAAAATTCAGAGACGCAAAGCTATATGAATTTGAGTTCAATTCATTAAAGAATTATTGCTAAAAAAGGAAACTTTTCAAATATCTTGAATATGTTACCTTGAAGTTATGAAAATATTTCTCATCAGAAATGCAGGAACATTATTTTCATTTGGTATTTCCTGTTTACAAACTGACCTAGATTGTATAAGAAAAAAATAATTTAACAAATGAACCAAAAGGTTTAATTTTGTGTTTTAAGAAATATTTTAGATTTACCTCTTGCATATCCCTACACTCACATGGGATACAATTTATGTATGTTAACTTTGCTCTGTTGGCTAGCAGAAGGTATTTCTTAAAATAGAAGGAAATAGAAGAATCCCCTGTGCAGATGTGAATAATTTATTTGCTTCATGTCTATTTAAGCTGTGGATCCAAAGCATGCTACTTAGTCAAACCACTGATATGAGCCTCTACCAGTTTGGAATTTGTATTCAAAATGGGGGATTTAAAAATATACTGTCAACTAGAAAACACACATGTAAAGCTGGAACTCATTTCCCCTTTACTAGCACCTTTACACCTGGGAGTCAAGAAATACTTCAATACCTCCAAGTATTTAACTTTTATATATGATGGTCTTGCCAACACTTTGTGGCTTTTTTCAGTTAGCATATGAATCCTATTATTAAAAAAAAAAAAAAAAAAGTTCTGCAAATATCAACTCAATGGAAAACCTACACATTGACTTGGTAACCTTTTTGTAGATTTCTATAGATTAAAATAATTGTGACATCGATCTTGCTGCCTTTAAGTAAATAGTTGTGGCAGACTGGGGCTGCTGAGAGCAAATGGATGCGGCAAGCCTCTCCCTATCCCTTTTCCTTTTCTTCCTTGTAAACAAGCACGGTCAACCCCAAAATCCCATATAACACAGGGTCTTTCTTTTCTGCAAGTGAAATAATTTTGTTCCAAATTAGAATGAAGAATTTATTTTAAAAATAATTTCAAAAAAGTTGTTTTCCAGAAACCTCAAACGATTATAAATATATATTCCTTCCATTTCAATTATTATGAAAAGACAAGCTGGCTTCCCTGGTGCTCAAGGAAATTGATTTCAAGAGTCCTCCAGTGAGACCAAGAGCCTTTAAAGGAGTCCACTGAACAGTGATAGTGCTAGATAAAATTAGGGTTTCCATTCAGTCAATTTCCTGGAAGTCAGGCTGCAAACTCCAGTAGTACTCATAAAGAATAATCAGGGACTTTTATGGTCATGGCGACAAAAATCTGGAAGGCTTTTTTTAAGACATTGTAACTATTCAATCAGAGGAATCTTTATTAGCTGCATTTTACACCATAGTGGGAATGTTATGAAAATAAAATTACTATTCACTCATTTCAGTCTCAATACTTATACTATTTACAAGATTATACATGTACTTTTTAACATATATACATGAACAAAAATCTCTTTGATACATTTACATGTATCAAAATGTGCACCTCTGCAAGATGCATATGAATCATTGACAGAATAGTTATTTTTCCTGAAGCCTGTTGTATTCTGATGTGTTTAATCAAATGCTTATATTCTCAGAATTATTTTTTTTTTTTTTAATTGAAATGCAAGGGTAAATGTACAGGCCTCATGAATCCTTAATATTGTTCACTGGTCATCAGCTATCCTTTCTCAAGAAGCAAAATTCTAATATATTCACTGGAAGCTCTCTGATTTATGTGGGAACCAAACCTTTAGGGGCACTAAGTCTGTGAGTGCACAAGGCAAGTCTTAAGTAAAAGAAAGTTAAATGAATGCTTTATGGAATAGGTAATGGTCTAAACCAGTAAATATTAACATGATTTTTTTTTTTTTCAAAATATCCAATTTTGCAACTCATGGACAATAAACTTAAATAAAGAG